AAAATCCGTGCCTTTCTTTCACTTAAAAACTATCATCTTATTTAAAACTTGGCAACTCTCTTGCTAAATGAGTCCTTCTTCCTCCATGTAATATATATTTATCATTTCGCAAAGGCCGAAAAGACTTTTAATACGCGGAGTACAAAAATGCATAGAAGATATTAACTACTGTAATTTTCAACACATTTTGTTACATATTTTCCTCATTTGGAGATATTGTTTTAAGAATATGGTAGGTGGGGTATAAAAAAGAGTATCTCTAACACTATAAAATAGATTTGTCTTATATACAGTAACCAGAGACATCACAATTCTATCATGGGATACCTGAATATGTATCTACTAGTTTTTAAGTTCACATTTTTATTACTTGAAACTTTATTCTTATTGAATACCTATGTTTCAAATTGACGCCCCGTATTTATCTTAAACAGTGTGCATTACGTCTATCGGTCTGTGTGACTCGAAAAAACATAATTAAAAATTGGGTGTCTATTTCAAAGACGAGTATCCATTAAAATAACGTTTGAAGTAATAAAAAAAAGTGCACATTATACAAAATATGACAATTAAAATATTCCGCAATTTTCGTAGTATCAGAATATCCCAACCTTGTATCGTGATCAGGCAAGAATTTAAGCAAGCACTCTTTCAGTGTTACAAGGCAGTTAGGCTGATCGATTTTACAATATGCCAACTTTTGTTGAGTTCTTTAATGCTGAATTTTTATGATGCACCCAGTAAGGATCGAACTCCGTAGTAATGATTAACTAAGCGATCCCCGTTAACCATTACCCTACATCAAGATGCCTTAGACGATCAGTTATTCTGATCCCGAGCCAGGATCATAAAGGGAAGCAACTCTCACTATCATAAAAATATCTCATTTAAAATGAACCCAGTTGATATGCGATTCTCATGTTTATCTTGTTATGTTTTCATTATCTTTAATAGCTTTGATAATAAAGTAAGATTGTCGGTAGGAACTGGTAGAAGTCCAAATGTCTTGGAAATCGGCCCTATCAAGATGAGCGAACGATATAGATTGGTTTTCTTGATTGATTTTGGCTTTTTCTAAAGATAAACACCAAAGAAGAAAGATAAAAATAAACTTAATTGCAACGGAGGCATCCATCTGAAAGGGTTGAATAACAGTAAATACAGAGAATACAATAATTAAATAAAGTTGTAAAATCGAAAGTTTTCGATTGTACATATTATTGGAGCACTTGGAAATGTCCTGAATATCCGCATGAAAAGTGTTAAGGAAGTCTTACATGATTGTGTAATGAACAAAACAAGATCTAGATTTAAAATTCAAATGCTAAGCACTGACTCATTGATTTTGTTAGAAATTAAAAAGACTCGAATTTACAAACTTTGCTTAACACACACGCAAAAGCGAATCCAAAACAAAACTCGTGAAATTTCACGAGTCTTGTTTCTTTTCTTTTATTCTTTTTTTTTTTTAAGCATTCAACCCCAAGCAAGGCGAGAAGCCACAAGCACGCAAGGGGTTACAGAGAGTTAGAGCGAGAACAAAGAGGAGTGATAGAGGAAAGGATGAAGAGACGGTTAGGGGATAGATCAGGGCATCTGGAGACGTCGATTGACATTACATTTGAATAGTTGGAGATTATAGCTATCAGGGAAACAAGAAATATGGGAGGGAGTTCTACAGGCGAAAAGTGCGAGACATGAAGCTATTGGAGTAGAAGAGACGGCTACATTTACAGTTTCGACAGTGAAAAGGTGAGAGCGAGATGCCAGCCTCGTTGAGCGCTTAAATTCGTGAAGTCTGGCAACCAGCGAAAGCAGCTCATCAGAGCAGTTACCGTGAAAGTATTTAGCAAAGTTTGTAAATTCGAGTCTTTTTAATTTCTAACTAAATCAATGAGTCACTGCTTAGCATTCGAATTTTAAATCTAGATCTTGTTTTGTTCACTACAATAGAATTTAGCTCTTGTGTCGTCTTCATTCCTGAGTCCTCTAGCAGTCTACCTACGAATGTAATATTTCTTTTCTCTTCTTGTTCTTCCCTCACTTGGTTACCAGAGTACTATTTTTTTACTAATATATGAAGACATTCGTTGTTAATTTGGATAATTGAACACTTATAATCAAGACGTCATTTCAACAGATAATCCGTATTAACAATCGCTCAGTTTTGTACGTCAGTTCAAAGTCGAAAATTTCGCAAAGTTTAACAAATGTAGCCGCAAAAAAAAAACAAAAAAAAAACAACGTGATAAAAGAGGTTTTTCTCTTGACACCGCTATTAGTAAATTTTTATTGTTTTAAAAAGCTATTTTTAGAATTTTAATAAAACCCTAATAGAGTAGGTCCCCGGATTACAACAGTCCCGACCTACGTCGGTGACGACGCAATCTACATTAATCTTGTTTCGACTTACGCCGTTTGTCTCGTACATACGCAATACATTGTATTCAATTTATATTTATGTCCTTTATAGTTATTTTAGTCCTAATTTTGTTAACATAAAATCCAGTTTCATATATTTAGGTTTTAATAAAATTCAAAAACAGCCTTTTAAAACAATAATAATTACCGAGGAAGTATATTGCATTAAGAGAAAAAAATCGATTTCACCCAAGCAAGGCAATAAAGCCACTAAGGGTATACTGGGTATTGAAAAAATAAGAACAGAAGCATTACTCATGAGCGGGAAGAGAAAAGAGTAATCAGTTCAGAAAATAGCGATTGACATTGCATTTAAATTTTTGAAGGTTAAAATTGGTTGGAAAGCATGGAGCCGGAAGCTAGAAGTGCGAGAAATGAAACTGTTAGCATAGAATTTACGGCTACATCTAGCCAGCGTAATTTCAAATTGATCAGATCTCGACACCAGTCTAGTACTGCGTTTCAATTCATAGAGTTTAGCGAAGAGCTCAACTCACTAATTTTTCCCAACATAAAAATTACTGTTTGGAGATACCGAAATCAAGCAGGTCCAACAATTTAGATATCTGAGAAGCGGGAACGGAAAATGCGACATGTAAATCCGAAGTACCATAGGGATAGTGAAAGATGCCTTCCAAAAGCTGAGCAAAGTATTAAGAAACAGAAAGACATCGTTAGAAACAAAGAAGAGTAGTGAACTGTTATGTCGTATCAATCCTATTCTATGGCAGTGAATGTTTAACAATCTCTTCGCAGATGAAAAAGAGACTTCAAGCAATAGAAATGTGGTTCTACAGAAGGATGATGAGAATATCATGGACCGAATATGTAAGAAATGACAAAATTCTAGAGACAATGGAAATAAACTTATACGTAACATTATGAAGAAACAGTTGTGATTTTGGGGCATATAATGAGAAAATAGAAAAATTTGACACCCACAAGACAAATTAAACGTAAGAGGGTTAAAGGAAAACAACGAATAACCTACCTAGCGAACTTATCGAATAGATGGCGTAGCAGAGTTTGGGAAAGATGTTAATAAGACAAAAGTTATAAAGAGCAATAAAGGAGAGGAAATTGTGGAGAGGCATAATCGCCAACGTCCTGAAGGGACACAGCACAAAGAAGAAGAAGAAACATGTGAGCAACGACGAAGTTCTAGAGACAATGGCAACAAAAAGGACACTTATACTTAACATCAAGAAGTGACAATTGAAATTTCTAGTGCACATAAGGAGAGCTTGGTAAAGTTGATACTCACTGGGATAGATTGAAGCTAAAAGGGCCAATGGAAAACAATGTACAATCTACCTGGCGGGACAGAATTTGGGAGAGATGGCAAAAAAGACAAAAGTTATTAAGAGCGACAAAGGATAGGAAATTGTTGAGAGCCATGATCGTCAATATAAAATAGAAAATCATCACGGAACGAGTTGTCAAACGTTTCTATACGCTTATTCTATGTTCTCTTTACCATCGGGTTAGCATCTTTAAGCAGATCGGTCAAACGTACGAATAGAAGACAAATGTTATTAGCTTACCATTATTAAAGATTATACAATACACTAATCGTGAGAAGATGATACACTAAGCATAAAATACTTGCTTCTGAATTCCAGGTCAAATCAAGGCTAGATTAAATTACTATTTAAACATTCGAATCTCAACGCAAATTTAGTTCATTTATGCTATCAAATTTTTGATTATTTTGTTTAAAGGTCCGTTGTTTATCATATGTTTCAAAAGAAAAATTAGCTGTATATTAACATAGAGAATTTTACATTTTAAAGATCTTGGTAGAGCGAGAAAGTATTTCTCATAGTTAATTATTACTCAACATATTGCCCAAGTCGAGGAAAAGTGACTTGTGATCTGTCGAAATATACAGACTCATAAGTGAACATAGTACCTCCAGAAGACCGGTTTATATAGGCCTGATGTGACGCAGGCGCAGTCAGAAACCCTGGGTATTAAGAAAAAAAAAAAAAAAAAAAACAGGGGCGGGGAAGTAAGGAAAAGAAAAGATAGCAATCACTTGGCACGCCGTATTTGTGATATACCCGGAACCGTGCCAAAATGACAAAGACGCAAGAAAAGTGTATTGACAGGAGAGAGAAGAGAAAAAAAAACAAAGAAGTTTTAAGGCAATCTGAGGGAAAAGAAAGGAAACATTGTGACAAAAGCAAAGAAAGAAAGAATAATCAAAAGATTGCGAAAGAAAAAAAAAAGGGGGCAAAAGAAGAAAAATAAAAATATAAGAAAACATACTAGCTGTTCAAAGACAACGAAGTCGAACCGCCGTATAAGGCTGCCAGTACTGTCTGCAAGACAATGTACAAACGATCTTTCTCTACCGAATGGAATGTATGTGTATCCAATCGCGGACAACTGTTGTAACAACAGAAGGTTTACGCAGAATGAGATGTGGGTATTTCTGCGTGGTATGCAATATATCAGATACAAGAGAAATGACACTCAGAATACTAAGGGTTTTCCAGCTGATGAGTAATCACTTTGGATTTAATGTGATTTGCATCAGTGCAGAGGGTATTAATAAATAAAAACGTGTAAACCAGATGTCCCAAATACGCAGCCCGCGGACTATCTCTCTGCGGACCGTGGACTATCTGTCTGCGACACGCGGACTATCTACGGCCCGTGGACAATCTCTCCGCGTCCAGCGGACTATCTGTCTGCGGCCCGTGGACTATCTACGGCCCGTGGACAATCTCTCTGCATCCAGCGGACTATCACTCTCGGCCCGCGGACTATCTGTCTGTGACCCGCGGACTTTTCCATACGTAATAAATACTGCGCCTCAAGAGGAAGCAGGGAGTTCAGCCTGAAGTCGGGCGACCGGCTGACCGGCTGATCGGTTGAACTCTCTGCCTTCGGGCGGGGAGGAACCCGAACGAGTCTACGTCGAAGGGCGGAGTCTCTTTCGGGGAGGTAAACCGACCCTGAACCCGTTTATACGGGTTAAAGGGCATATTTTTGACCGAGTCCACGGGCTCGGAGATCCCACGTTAAACCGGCCTTGTGCCACAGGATGCCCTCGTGGAGGGTGGGTGACTAAATACTGTTCAGTCTGAAGTCTGGTGTGATGTCCGTCAGGAGTCTGTCAGTCAGAGCGAGCGAGTCAGTCAGTCAAGTCAGAGGCAGTCCGAAACAGAGTGGTGTTCAGACAATTACTACTAAACCTGATTGTTCGTACTAACACTTTCTACTTCTCTTTATATATTCCTGTTTGTAATATATCTGTGTTATTCCATATCCGTGTTCGAGTTCTTCTTTATTGGTTCTACCTTGGACTATCACCGTGGTACAAGGAACCGGACCATAACAAGATTGTAAGAATTTTGGGGGGAAATAATAATAATTTAGTGATACAAGTCTTACTAATTAACCCATAGCTGGGGGAGAAGCGATGGAGTCATACTTTTCCCAGGGCTACTTTTACGAAAATTAATATAAGGAACCAGAGTGAAATTAGTATTCTGCTTTCCGATTAACAAACCCGAACATCCAAGCTTACAGCACCTGGTATTTCCCAGCGGTTACTCGACTAGGTACTGGTTAGGCTTGACGTTGATTAAATTCGGTGATAGTACAGGAACCGATATTTCAACGTGATATGGCAGTAACCCCATACTGTAGTCTGGTAGTTATTAGTTAAATAATTTAAAATTTTCGCTGTATAATCTTCGATCTGAGCGGTTAAACAATTTTACATCCTTAGGCTACGAACATATTGCCAAACCATATATATATATATATATATATATATATATATATATATATATATATATATATATATATATATATATATATATAGGATTGGTATAGGATACGTGTATACAGATAAATTCCAATAACCAACAAATACTATTCTTAAAGAGTGCTCAATACAGAGTAGAGTAAATATAATTTATTCGAAAATTCTGACATAAATATGTTATAAAATCACTACAAAAATAGCCATTTTGTTTCAACACTTCTGATGTCTTATCAAGTGATGGTAATGAATGTAGAAAAAAGAGTTTTAAAAGGTTCAAATCGACCAAACATCCCCTTGCTCGATTTGAACCTTTTAAAACTCTTTACTGATTTTATAACATATTTATGTTATAATTTTCGAATAAATTATATACATACATACATACATACATATATATATATATATATATATATATATATATATATATACTAGAAGTATAACCCGTCTTCGACTGGGTGTTTCATTACTGGGAATTTTTACCGTTCAATTGGAGCAGTTTAAGTTTAAAGTCAGCCCACCTGAAATTCAATATTAGTAACCACAATTGGGTGCAACTGATATATATATATCAGATCTATTTATTGTAGTAATCCTTTGCATGTCAGCTTAATTTAGTTACTCATTCAGTTAGTCATTCATTCGTTTCGTAGCAAAATAAACATTCATATTTTTACGGCATTACTATTTTCTTTTGCATCGCAGATTATCATTCCTATGAATGAAATAAAAAATAACTTAAATTTTAGTAATAGTTTACATATGTATATACATATTTTTAATCATTTCTCCTCGAGCAAGGCAATAAAGCCACTAAGACACAAGGAGTTACTGAGTGTTAGCGAATATGAGAAAAATACACTATCAAAGAGGGAGAAAAATAAAACAAGAATTAAGAAGACAAAATGTCTAGCCATCTCTGTAAACTGATGAACCTTGTGTTCTAGAGTAGCTAGCACATCTTCAGCACTCTACCAGATGGCCTGATTCATAGCCTTAAATATTCTATGATTAAGGACTTCAACAGTTGATTAATAAGTTGATACTAATCTGATTAATATTCGAACTGATCTTACTTTTTTTGGCTATACAGCATTTGACCCTCCTCTATTCCTTGTAAGTTGTCTTGTTAATTGTTTTGTAACTTATTGTTCTGTGGTTTTGTATGTATCCGTTAGCAACGGATATTGGTGCTGAATAAATATATTAACACTCATTCTTCTCTGTTTATCATTCGCCTCGACGATACAACAAATGCCTTCAATCTAGTACTGAGCTTAAATTCATAAAGTCTAGGTATCGTAGAGGAAAGCAATATTTTTTGTGTAAAATACAAAAAATGTGGCACAAGGCCAAAAGGGAGAGAATCTGTCTTATAATTAAACTTACCAAGCCACAATCACTGACCCAATACATACCACAGTGTTTCTTTCACTAAAAACAACAGTCTTACCATTCTTACTATAGCCACTATAATACCCCAGAGTCTTCATGAAGTCCTAACTAGTCCTCCATATGTACAGAAGTGGAAAGTTCATCAGAATAATTATCATGAAAGTATTCATAGAAAAGGCACAAGGAAGCTACATTATGGTGGTGGAAAAAGGACTGAAGCTTAGATGCTAGGTCAGAATCAATAACATTGCAGATTCTTCTTTGAATTTTATCAAGAATCTCTAAATATATAGCAAGAGCACCAGATCAGGTGTGACAGCAATATACATTACTTTAAACATCCGTATTTTAAAGAGACACCCCATTTTTATTTATTAAACAGTGTGTATTACAACTATCGGCATATGCATTCGAAAAATTTCAGTAAAGAAAATTTGTTCTCCGACAGGAATTGAACACATTTGTTCACTGAGAATTCTCGAATGTGCTTAATAAATAAAAATGGAGCGTCTATTTCAAACACGGAGTGTTCACTATAATGTCGGATTAAAGTAATAAAATGTCGGATTAAAAATAAAACCCATTACTTCTTTAGAAATGCTCCTGGGATGCAGTGCTGTCAATCTTGATCTCATTCAAGCATGAGACAGACTCGCTACTCTGTGTCCACATCAGTGTTCACTCTTCTTATATTTATTTGCACACGCTCTATCCCGAATATTGAGCCACTTTCCCCCTAAAAATATAGCATACCTTAAACCTATATTTTTTCATTACACACACACACACACACACACACACACACAAAATATATATATAGAGAGAGAGATTGATAATATTAGTGGTAAATATACACATACATATGCAATCATATATCTAAAATATATGAATATATATACACACATACATACACATACATATATATTTGTATAAAAAATAATTCCAAGAGGATAGAATCCAGGTAGAACTCAATGTCCAGGACAGAGTAAGGATATAATAAAAAGGCTTAAACACTAATATTCCATGGTCATAATTTATTTCATTGGAATCGTAAATACAATCCAATTCATTAGACCTACATCAGCCCCTATATACACATACGTGCACACACCCCAGCATACATGCATACACAAATCTATATCATTCTTTTATAACACACACACACACACACACACATATATATTTATATAGGGATACCTATATGTACTTTCACACATAAGCACCTATATATCCATACATACAGGCACATACAGACACCCGCATACATGCATATATCGGCATCACGTGTTGCGTATAGATAGGAAGAAGTGTTAAGATATTTTTCATTTAATTCTCTTCTGATAATAAATTAGAATACATGAAACGTTATATATGTATTTAGATATTGTGCCTCGGTTACAGATATACTTACATATTACTTGCATTGTTTCTGAATGCAGAAATACCGGTGGCGGTGGGGTGGTATCAGGAAAGCAGCAAGTTAAAGAGTTTGATTAATCAACTCATCAACCTACGTACCTAACAGCATACAAGGGGGTGCAGAAAAATTTCTTAACCCATTTCCCGAAATCTAACCAAGTGCCCAAATATACAAAATTCTTTTTTTAGAAGGGATTCTTCGTCTTTTTCTAAAACTGTTGTACATCCAATCCACGTCTCGAGCCATTCAAGGTAGAGTGTTACTAAACGTGGTTGTTTTATGGGCATAAAAGGAAGAAGTGCAGATTATGAGGGTATGTATGTCAGATAATGCTTAACCCCAGACTTGAAGAATTTAACTCTGTAGTGATCGGTGGAGCATCCTCTTTCCTCAAGAGCCACTCAAGGTAGAGTGTTACTGAACGAGGTTGTTTTATGGGCATAAAAGGAAGAAGTGCAGATTATGAGGGTATGTATGTCTGATAATGCTTAACCCCAGACTTGAAGAATTTAACTCTGTAGTGATCGGTGAAGCATCCTTTCCTCAAGAGCCACTCAAGGTAGAGTGTTACTGAACGAGGTTGTTTTATGGGCATAAAAGGAAGAAGTGCAGATTATGAGGGTATGTATGTCTGATAATGCTTAACCCCAGACTTGAAGAATTTAACTCTGTAGTGATCGGTGAAGCATCCTCTTTCCTCAAGAGCCACTCAAGGTAGAGTGTCACTGAATGAGGTTGTTTTATGGGCATAAAAGGAAGAAGTGCAGATTATGAGGGTATGTATGTCAGATAATGCTTAACCCCAGACTTGAAGAATTTAACTCTGTAGTGATCGGTGAAGCATCCTCTTTCCTCAAGAGCCACTTAAGGTAGAGTGTTACTGAACGAGGTTGTTTTATGGGCATAAAAGGAAGAAGTGCAGATTATGAGGGTATGTATGTCTGATAATGCTTAACCCCAGACTTGAAGAATTTAACTCTGTAGTGATCGGTGAAGCATCCTCTTTCCTCAAGAGCCACTCAAGGTAGAGTGTTACTGAACGAGGTTGTTTTATGGGCATAAAAGGAAGAAGTGCAGATTATGAGGGTATGTATGTCAGATAATGCTTAACCCCAGACTTGAAGAATTTAACTCTGTAGTGATCGGTGAAGCATCCTCTTTCGGAAGCTGTCTGAGTGGAACTTCCTCCCTACCAATGAAATAAGAATAAA